ATTGCTGGTACATGGCATCTCTAATAATCAGCATCTTGTCCATTTTTACTTCCTTAGCCACTGTCATGGCAAATGCCGAATCCTTCACCACGAGGCCCGCTTCTCCTGGGCTCGTCCCTGAAGTAAGAGCTCAGTTCAGCTCTGAGGGAAGCAATCCCACTGACCATCTATATTTGTGCCCCTCCCAAATTTGATCCCGGTGGCATAATACATGGCATCTCTAATAATCAGCATCTTGTCCATTTTTACTTCCTTAGCCACTGTCATGGCAAATGCCGAATCCTTCACCACGAGGCCCGCTTCTCCTGGGCTCGTCCCTGAAGTAAGAGCTCAGTTCAGCTCTGAGGGAAGCAATCCCACTGACCATCTATATTTGTGCCCCTCCCAAATTTGATCCCGGTGGCATAAAACTGGAGCAGCCCAAGAAGGAATACACATCAAACCCCTGGTGGCTGCCTTGGCTTTGGGCCCAGAAGAAAGGCAGGCCTGCCGCAAACTAGACAAAGCCATTCGACATTAACGTTCAGACAACACCTACCTCACTCCAGACCAGCATGGTGCCGAATATGACCTGTAACCCATCAAAGAAATTGTCTCCTATGATGATGACAGTAGCACCGCCTGTAGTCCATCCTTCACTCGGACTGATGGCTTTGATACATGGTGTAGCTGCTTTTCAACACACATGAAAAAGAGAAGTATGCAGCTGTTAGAACTGGATTTTAATGACAGAAGATTTCAGGGTGGGAGAAGCTTCCCCCACCCCCCAACATAAAAATCTCAGAAAGCTCTTTCTTGCTTGTGCGTGCGTGTGACCCCACATTAGATCTTTGGAGAGGAGATGGGCTTTGCCCATTAATTTTCATCTTTGTGTTTCTAACAAGACGATAAACATTTTATCTGCCGTGGCAAAGAAACTCACAACAGGATAGGCCAGCGCAAGTGGAAAACAAAACACATTCCTATAGCCAGCCTATGTTTAAATACCGAGTACTTGATCCAACAGAAGGATAATCCAGCTACCTTGATTAGCCATCTGAATGTACAGAAATCATACTTATTATGGACAATGTGAGTTCGATTTAAAAAAAAAACCAGGCATGCAAGAATGATACTTTCATTCTTCTGCCACAGGCCCCAGGCTGCTCCAATGTTCCACTGTCCTACTGTGGTGCAGTACGGCGGCAAGGGTCAAAATCAGTATGTGCTGCCAGGTCAAAGACTGCGCAATTAAGAGACCTGCACACTGCACTTTGGATGTCAAAAGTCTCCTGTGGGGCCATGCACTCCCCCCGCCGCCAGGCCACCGCTGCCAGCTTCCCCAGGGCTGCAACTGGCATCAGCTGAAGGTATAGCAGCAAGGTGGGCCCTGTGGCCTAATGGATAAGGCACCAGACTCTAGAGCCTGGGGGCATGGGTTTGAGTCCCCACAAGCAGCTGCTGCCGTCCTATGCACAGCCTACCTCTCAGGGGTTTCTGTCCCTACCCAGTGCTCCTTAAGAGGGTAAAAGCTCTCAGGCCCAGATGTGGCAAAGACATGTCAGCTTTAGGGTCACAAGCAAGCTAAGAGCTGCACAGCAAGGCAGCAAACCATTCAGAGTTCAGGCCTGTCACTCAGGAGTTAACTGGCCTGACCAGAATTCTGCTGCTGTGAAAATGCAGTTAACCAGAGGAGAAATGGGCCCTTGGTTAACTGGTCACCTCCCGGAGCAGCAGCGGCTCAAGAGCCAGATGGGGGCAGGTGTATAGAGGACTTGCTGTTGCATCCACACCAGATGCTGGTCTAAGGCAGAGAACATGGGACCCAAGCCTCACAGGACAGTCACACACAATACATCAGCTGCCAGACAAGAGGGAGTGTTGTCCAGTACAGGAAGTCCTGCACTGATGAAGGGGCTGTGTTCCAAATGTCGGGTAGAAAGTTGGTTAGTTGGGTACTGGGAACCCATTTCCCCTGTTGAAACAAATGGGGGGTAGGTACCCACACAAGCCTCCTCAGCCCATGAGGTAGCTGAAATACTCTGTATTTGCAGTGAAAAGCAGTAGAAACAGGGAGAGGAGCGGGGGTATTTAACCACAGAGGCTGGTGCTTAAGGAAAGGCAGGTTTAATCTGAGGAGGATAAAGAAGTAGGTGGAGTTCGGAAGGGGATTCCCTGGCTACCATTCCCCAAAAGTGGCCAGTGTTAGCAATGGGCTAGGTGCTTCATGTGGCCAACATTCTGGCCCCAGTGAAGTCAAATGGGAGTTTTGGGAGTTTTGCTGCTTGGGTTTGGGATTTCACCCATCTCTGTTATCTCTGTTAAGTCACGGGCTCTGTCTACACTGCAGAGTCTACACTGCAGAGATTTTGTGGTCTCCGTGTCCAAGGAACCCGTCTGCTCTTCCAAAAAAAATTTCAGAAGAGCAGATGCTTTTTTTCGGCATCCCTGTAAACCTTGTTTATGAGGAAGAAGGGATGTGCCAAAAAAAGGAGGTTTTCCAACATTTGGCCCTGTGTTGGTGGGTGAAATGTTGGAAAAGCCTCTTCCAACAAAAGTAGAAGAAAAAGATATGCAAATTGTGGTTTGTCATTTGTGAACCTTTTTCTAGATGAACACCTCCGTCTAGACACAGCCACAGAATCAGAACACTGGTACTGGAAGGGACCTGGTGAGGTCATCAAGTCCAGTCCCCTGCCCTCACGGCAGGACCAAGCACCATTTAGATCGTCCCTGAGAGATGTCTAACCAACCTGCTCTTAAGTATCTTCAGGGATGCAGGTTACACAACCTCCCTGGGCAATTTATTCCAGTGTTTCACCATCCTGACAGTTAGGAATTTTTTCCTAATGTCCAACCTAAACCTCCCTTGCTGCAATTTAAGCCTGTTGCTTCTTGTCCTGTCCTCAAAGACTAAGGGGAACAATTTTTCTCTCTCCTTCTTGTGACACCCTTTTAGATACTTAAAAGCTGCTCTCGTGTCCCCTCTCAGTCTTCTCTTTTCCAACTAAACAAGCCCCGTTCCTTCATCCTTCCCTCACAGTTCATGTTTTTTAGCTCTGTCATCATTTTTGTTGCTCTTCTCTGGACCTTCTCCAATTGCTCCACATCTTTCCTAAAATCTGGCGCCTAGAACTGGACCCGATCCTCCAACTGAGGCCTAACTGACATAGCTTCACTGAGAATCAAGCCGTCTCTCCGCCTGCATAGGTCAACGTACAGAGGACGGGGCTTAGCAGCTGGCCAGCATGTTGGCAGAAAGGCTGGGCGAAGTGCGTGGCCTGTTTGGTTTAGAATTTGAAATGATGGCTGGGGGGCTCAGAACTGGTGTGTGGCTTTTTTGTTTTGTTCGAAGCCTTCAGGATGTAACTAAACTAAATAAATAAAAGAACCCGCGGCAGGCAGAGGGCTTGGAACTGCTTTTAACCCAAAGGGCTAGCGGAGTTAATGTTATTCATTGGGCAAGTGCCAGATGGTCAGAGTGGAACTGATGCACCAGGAAGACCATTTCTTTGAAGCACGCTGAAAGGTGGCTAGGCCAGGGGATAGACATAAGGGAGGAGCTGGACTTTGCTGAATTGCCACTCATGGTATGCATTTCTGCAGAAAAGCTCCAGAGGAACAGATGATGTACATGGGACGCAAACAGGCCCCGTTCTCGCTTACAAAAAGGCTGTAACTGTCAGGCACAAAGTTTTCCACTACTTAATAGGTGATAGGTATGCCAGCTAAAATGAAAAAAACCCACATAACCAAAAATCATTACATTGCTCCAAACTTGGCAGCGGGCGGCACTTTAACTTTTACATGAACTAACAAAAGAAACAGCCTAACATTACAGTCATGAAAATGCAGCGCACGCACAGAAGTAACTTCAAGATGTTTAATTTGGATTCAAGTTACTTGTATAAAACGGCACTAAAAAGTTTGGAAAGCCCAATCCAAACGTTTTCCTTTCGAGTGACCTCCCGGCAATGGATTTGCCACTAAACCAGCTTTTCCAAATGTCATCTAGCCCTTTCACAAAATCAATTCACCCATAAAAATTAAAATCCACTCCAAACTACACTATTCCTGATATTTACGCACACTGCAATAAAACTTGGACATAATCGGTTCTTCATGTGTCTGCACAAGGAGCTATTCTTACTAAGGACTAGAAGACACACTTAAAAAAAATCATGGAACACTAGAACTGGGAGGAACTTTGAGAGGTCATCAGGTCCAGTCCTCTACCCTTACAGCAGGACCAAGCACCATCTAAATCATCCCTGACAGGTGTCTGTCCAACCGGCTCTTAAATATCTCCAGAGATGGAGATTCCACAACCTCCCTGGGCAATTTATTGCAGTGTTTAACCACCCTGATAGGTAGGAAGTTTTCCCTAATGTCCAACTAAACCTCCCTTCCAATTTCAGCCCATTGTTTCTTCTCCTGTCCTCAGAGGCCAAGGAGAATAATTTTTCTCTCTACCCCTTGTGACACCCTTTTAGGTACTTGAAAACCGCTATCATGTCCCCTCTCGGTCTTCTCTTTTCCAAACTAAATGAGCCCAATTCTTTCAGCCTTCCCTCACAGTTCATGTTTTCTAGACCTTTCATCATTTTTATTGCTCTCCTCCAATTTTTCCACATCTTTCTTGACAGCGTTCGCGGACATTGACATTTTCCTGGGAATGGTTTTGGTTTGAAGCAGCTCCACGTTTCATTGGGAAAACCGGTCTGTGAGAAGATTTTGACCAGTAACGTTGATAAAACAGGTCAGAATTCAAATCTAAGTTTCCATAAAAGATTTATTATAATAAAAGACAGTGGATACACATGCATCTGACGAAGTGGGTCTTTACCCACGAAAGCTTATGCTCCAACACTTCGGTTAGTCTATAAGGTGCCACAGGACTCCTCGCTGCTTTTAGTGGATACACACACACTCTTAAAATACTGAAAGGCAGACAACCCAACAGTATCCAGACCCAAGAGGGCTTGCACGTGTCTTTACCAGACGCCGTATAAAAAAAAAAATCAGTCAGGTATTCAGTGAAAGTGTACTTCTCAGAGCAGACTCTCTGAGCCCAATACACACAAGAGACCACATTAACTGCAACCTCTCAAACAACACATGTGACCCTGATTGAAAGTGATAGAGACATCTCCTACACCTGTAAAATTTTGCTTGTGGTATTGAGTATTAACGAGACCCTCTCATTCCTTGCAAGGCATTGAGAAAAATAAATGTTGACGTGTTTTGCCATGCTGCTTCTGCTATCTGTATTAACAGAGAGAGATGTTAAGTAGGTAGCGGGCAGTTGGGAAGATTTGTCACTGCCTTCAATGGAGCAAGGATTTCACCCCACAGAAGATGCTTATGGGATTTAGGAGCACAAATCACGTTAAATTCCCAGGAAACTCAGGTGATTTGGGTGCTTTTGGAAAATCGTCCCCCTCTTTTCTGAAGTACTGCTGCATTTTACAACTTTCCATAACTGGATGTTATGTACCAACGTCAGCGCATAAGAAACAAAAGAGAAAAGTGTTGGTGTTGTTTTTTCCCCACGGAGGACTTGTGTATGTATGTATGTGTGTATGTGTGTGTCTCTCTGCTTTCCCCCCAGCCACCAAAGTAGAGGAGACTTTCCTTCCTTCAAAGTGTGACAATAAAATGATTACCCCGCCACAGTTTAGCATAATGGT